GAATAACTACACTAAAGAGCTTGGCAACTAGTTTGTAAGAAATGTAAAGGAGTGAGCAAGGTGATTATACCGTCGTGTTGAGGAATGAACCAATCACAATATGAAGTCAATCCAATCACCAGGAGAATTCCAATCACACAAGAGACACAAGAATTTTCTTCCGAGGTTCACGTGCTTGCTAGCATGCTAGTCCCCATTGTGTCGACCAACACTTGGTGGTTCGATGACTAAGAGGTGTTGCACGAACCTCATCTAACAAATGGACACCGCAAGAACCTACCCACAAGTGAGGTAACTCAATGACACGAGCAATCCACTAGAGTTACCTTTCAACTCTCCGCCGGTGAAGGTACAAGACCCCTCACAATCACCAGAGCCAGCCACAAACAATCACCAACACGTGCCGAAGCTCCTCTGCTGCTCCAAGCCATCTAGGTGGCAGCAACCACCAAGAGTAACAAAAACTCCACAGCCACAGCAATCTCCAAGTGCCACTAGATGCAATCACTCAAGCAAATACACTTAGAATCACTCCCAATCTCACTATGATGATGAATCAATGCTGAAGATGAGTGAGAGGTGTTTGCTTAGGCTCACAAGGATGTAAAGTACATCAAAGTGCCAAGAGAGTGAGCTCCAAGCTGGTCAAACGCTATTTATAGACGCCCAAGAAAATAAAGCTGCTGCTCTGCTCGGGGGCTGACCAGACTCGCCTGACTGGACACACCCCAGTGTCCAATCACCTGATGGCATCCACATGGCACCCCTTCAAACCTCAGTCGTTCATCTCCAACAGTCAAGTCCCGAGCGCGCGATCACTTAAGTCATGACCGGACGCACCGCTCGCGCCACCTGACGCGCTAACGAGCCAAGTTCGATCATTTCCAGAGACGATCTAGAGCGTGGAAAATGAGACCGGATGTGCCCGGTCGAAGGTGACCTGATGCACCGCGGTGTTCAGCCCTCACTGTCTCACTTGCCGAGCCAACGTTAGGGTACATCACGCGCGACCTGACGCACCAACGTCGCATTCGGTCACACGAATGAAAGGTCCTAATGGCTAGAGGGGGGTGAATAGCCTATAAAAATTTCTACAACAACACTTAAGCCAAATGGTTAGACAATTATGAAGCGAAGCGAGTGTTACGCTAGCCTACTCAAAATACAAGCCTCATATCCACAATTCTAGTTATCTATGATCTCTATAACACACAAGAGGCTATGTCACTACCACTAAGTTAGTGAGCTCTCAAAGACTAACTAAAGAGCCTCACTAACCACTAGACAAGACACAAGCTAGCTCTCAAAACTAATTACACTAAAGAGCTTAGCTACACTAAGAAAGTAAATGCATAAGATAGGTAGTGAGGTATACCGCCGTGGCAAGAGATCAATCACAATATATCAATGAATGCCAATGAAATCCTCGGAGATAAGATGACACAATGATTTTTCAGCGAGGTTCACTTGCTTGCCGGCAAGCTAGTCCCCGTTGTGGTAATTCACTCACTTGGAGGTTCACGCGCTAATAGGCATCACATGCCTAACTCGCAATCGGGTGCCGCACAACCAACATAAGATGAGGATCCACAAGCCATGAGCAATCCACTAGAGTACCTTTTGGCTCTCCACTTGGGAAAGGTCAAGAACCCCTTACAATCACCATGATCGGAGCAAAAAAAATCACCTTCCTCCACTCGACGATCCTCGCTACACCAAGTCGTCTAGGTGGTGGCAACCACCAAGAGAAATAAATGAATCCAACAGCGAAACACAATCACCAAGTGCCTCTAGATGCAATCACTCAAGCAATGCACTTGGATTCACTCTCAATCTCACAAAGATGATGAATCAATGATGGAGATGAGTAGAAGGGCTTTGGCTTAGCTCACTAGGTTGCTATGTTAATGAAAATGGCTAAGAGAGTGAGCTAGGGCCGGCCATGGGGCTTAAATAGACGCCCCCACAAAATAGAGCCTTTGAACTCCTCACTACACAAAACATGGGGTGACCGGATGCATCAGTCGAATCGCCCAGACTCACGGCCTCAGCCTTCGGTCCATGGATTCAAGCCACATGTCCCCGAGTTTGAACGTTGGCTGCGCGATGCCAATGGCTAGTAGCCGCTCCCGCGCGCTTTAAGTGGCAATCGGGCGCGCAAGAGATAGAACCGGACGCGTCGGTGCCAACCCTACCCGCGCGCGCGTCGGCGCCACCAAGTACTGACTAGACGCACCGGTCACTTTACCTGACGCCACGCCACCTCGCTTCAGATCACTTCCAGAGAGGGTCCAGAGCGTCAAATTCATGATCAGACACGTCCGCTGGACCTTGATCGGACGTAGGCCAGCATCCGGTCCTCACACGCCAAGCTCACTGCCTTGCATCAGCGCACGTCAGCCTTCACCAAACGCACCCCCTGCGCATCCGGTCACTTTCTTCTCTAGCGTCCGGTCCAAGGACCGAGGGCACGCCTTCACTACGCGCCACTGACTGGACGCGGCTGCTGAGTCTGATAGCTGCTAGAGCAGCGTCCAGTCACCTCAGAGAGCCCCTTCTCAACTTCAACTTCGCCACCCTTACTCAAATGTGCCAACCACCAAGTGTATCACCTTGTGCATGTGTGTTAGCATATTTTCACAAACATTTTCAAGGGTGTTAGCACTCACTAGAATCTAAATGCATATGCAATGAGTTAGAACATCTAGTGACACTTTGATAACCGCATTTCGATACGAGTTTCACCACTCTTAATAGTATGGCTATCTATTTTAAATGTGATCACACTCGCTAAGTGTCTTGATCACAAAAACAAAAGCTTCTATGGATATCACATTTGCCTTGAGCTTTTTATTTTTCTCTTTCTTTTTCCAGCCCGAGCATCTTGATCATCACCATGGCCATCATCACCATCATGATCTTCACCATTTGCTTCACCACTTGGAATGTGTTATCCTATCTCATGATCACTCAGAGCAAAGGATTAGCACCTAGGGTTTCATCAATTCACTAAAATCAAACTAGAGCTTTCAGCGAAGTCTCCAGCGTTCGACCGTGAACCCTTCCCCCGCCTTCTCTAGAATAGCATGACCGGATGCACTGGCTGCGTTAGGTGCAGTGTCCGATCAGTGCTGCGCCACTGCCCGAGTCAGGGTTTAGGACCGGACGCGCAGGTCGCTACGTCCGGTCAGCACCCTTCGCCTCCTTTTCATTTTCTAACTCCTCAACCTCTTCACCCTTGCTTCCAAGTTGCTAACCATAAAGTGTAGAACTTGTGTGCACATGTGTTAGCATTTTTCAAGAGTCAAGGTTAGCACGCTAGGTTCCTAAATGCATATGCAAGAATCATGTCACCTAGTGACACTTGATAACCGCTTAGTCAAATATTTCTCATCTTTATAGTACGACTATCTATCCAAAATGTAATCACACTCTCTATAGTGTCTTGATCACTAAAATAAAATCCTATCTTATACCTTTCTCTTGATTTTCTTAGTTTTTTGTTTTTCTCTTTCTTCCTTTCCATGTTAAAGCTTGATCATCAACATCTCATGTCCATCTTCAACTCCATGAACCTCTTGCTTGATCCATCACTTGAATGCACCAACCTAGCTCAATTCATCACTCATGACATAGGTTAGTACTTAGGTTTATCAATTAGTTAAAATTAAACTAGGGCTACTAAGATCCTGGCTAGTGCAGCAATGGCAGAGTCAGGAACCAACAACACTATTAGCCATACTCGGAAAGTCTTTGTGATGCGACAGACACCACAGATTCCCATGCCACATGCTCCTGACATCAACTCTGGCGATGAGACCTTATCAAATACTCCCTCCGTCCAACAATAAAAGCATGTTTAGGATTCAAATGAAAAAATACTGTATATGTGATATTACATTTTTACCCTTAGAAAGTGTAGCTGTCATTTCTTGCCGTACGAAGATTGGCGGTCACGGTTGAGTGCGGTGCCGCTGGAGCCAACAAGCGAGTGGTGGAGAGCATTCCACGTAATTGAGCATTCAAGTTTTTTTATTTTTCTCCATTTACGATGGTTCCATTATGCGTGGAGACTATTTACCTCATCGAATCCCTTTATTTTGGGATTTTTTAAACTGTAAGCGTGCAATTAAATTTGGACCAAGGGAGTACTCTTTCCTCATCGAATCCCTTTATTTTGGGATTTTTTGGCCCATAATTATTGTGAGAGAAATTAAATTTGAAAAAACAAGCCGAACAAGCCAAACTTTAAGACAAGACAACTTTGACTAAATATATATTAAAAATATTACTATGTATGATACTTAATTAGTATCATTGGATAGATATTTGAATCTAGTTTTTAATAAATTTATTTAGAGATAGAAATATTATACTTATTTTTTATAAATCAAGTCAAAATTATCGACACGTAAATCGTGATGACTAATATTTAGAGACGGGGAGGAGTATCTCAGTTGATGTCCCTGCACCTGCCAACGAGACAGAAGCGCAGAAGGCTGCAAGAGAGAAGAACAACAAGGGCAGGTGACTAGGACATGTCGGATAATATGACTTTATAAAACGACCCGAAATACACTTGTTCTATAGAGTTAGATATACATGGTCAGTTCCTGTATTTTATATATAAAATAACCTTAGGCCCGATTTGGAATGTGAATTCGTTTTTTTTTAAAAACTGAAACGATTGAAACGGTTCCACTCAAAAGTTCAGCAACTATTATTTGGGGAAAAAAATCTTGCGTTACAAACCTCATGGCGGCCGGGCTTTAGCCCTAGGCCCACAGCCACCATGGCTTTAGCCCTAGGCCCACACGGCCACAAGCCCACCACAACCCTTCCAGCTTCACCTTCTCTTCAGTCTTCTGCTGCTGTAGTCTGTAGACACTCGACAGATTCCGCTCCAACGCGCACCAGCACGCCCTCGCCTTTCAAAAAAGCTGAGGATTCCTTGAGAGGGAGAAGCGTGCCCGGCAGCTCCGCTCCATCCGCCCCCAAGAATGTCCGACGAGGCCAGGCGCGGCCCCGCGGGCGACGCGCAGGCGGTGATCCGGGCCTCCTCCGAGGACCGCAAGCCGATGGGCACGGGGTTCCCGCCGCCGGCCGCGGCCGCGGCGGCGGTGGCGCACAAGATCCAGCTCAAGAGCGCCGACATGAAGGAGGAGATGCGGCAGGAGGCCTTCGAAATTGCGCGCGTCGTAAGAGCCTTACGCCCTCGCTTTCGCTCTGCCATCTCTTCCTGCGCAAGATTTGGTTTTCGTCGCTCCGCCCTTGTTGACGGGTTGTTCCTTGGGGTTTGGGGATTTTTTTTTCTGTCGATTCCTTCCCTCTCGGTCAGGCGTTCGAGAAGCACAGCATGGAGAAGGACATCGCGGAGTACATAAAGAAGGAGTTCGACAAAAACCACGGCCCAACCTGGCACTGCATCGTCGGCCGCAACTTCGGTAATGCTCTCCTCCCAACCCCCTTACGGATATTGAATGATTGCGCCAGTTGTAGTCTGATATGCTTGCGTCGTTACCTCGTTGGATATTCTGTGGTCAATTTCATACGTGCTAGCTCATAGAGGTTCCCACATGATTGATAGAAGAGTGGACCTTGTAGGACAGTGTTTATGCTGCCAATAGAAGCCACAGGAAACTCTTTTTCTAAAATATATTAAAAAGGAAATGAACTTGGGAAAGTGAAGTTGAAATGGTTACTGATCAACTGAAGTTATTCTTCAAATTTGAAGGGAATGTTCTAATGATCATGATCTATGGAGTATATACTTAGTCCGATAGAGCCCCCATACAGCTCTGGATAAAGTATAGTTTCAGGGAGTGTGGACAGGCTATGCGCGACCATGTCTAGTTGCTCTATTGTGAGCTTTACCTCCTTACTTTTGGCTTGGCTTAAATTCTGAAATTTACTCTTGGTATCAACCAAATCCAACTTAGCAAGCTATCATTCAATTTATTGCATTTCTAATTGATGTATTTTAACTTTCTATTCACTCTTTTTTGTATAAATCTAAGCTTAATAACACGTACTTTACTTTGATAGCTCCTTAGCTTGCTGTCACCTTACTATATCTGTAATCGGATGTATTGAAGAAATGGTATGACATTTTAACTCCCAATTGACTGGGTATGCCATATCACCCCAATATTTTGAGGTGTCTTGTCCTCGCAAAGAATCCATGTGGCATGCCACATCACTTATTCACTTCAAAAACACCCCAGCAATTGGTTTGCAATGAGGGAAGTTTAGCAACCTCTACTGCAATCTGCAATTGGCACAGCCAAGTTGTGAACATGGATCTGAGAGAACAATTGTCAGTACTAGATTGGAAAAAACACTTTGAACATTGAAGCAATTATTTATCTCATGTGATTATGTAGGTCTTAAGTTCTTATCAAACAGAACTTTTTGCTGTCTATGTTTGTATTCTTTTTTCTACAAAATGTTCTATCTTGGACTTATAGTTCTAATTCCTTTTCTCTAAATTTCCTGTGATTTTCTTATTATTATTTTTATTTATAAGGCAGCCTATTTTATGAATGGAAGTCATGTTAGGCATATGTTAACAATTTGAGACCAGCGAAAGTCTGCCTGATATGTCATGCCACCTGTGTTCATATTCTTCTATAAGCAATAGATGTATATGTGTAGCATTCGACTGTTCATAGCTTCTTCTCATTCATGATAACATATATATTTTTTTATTGTAAATGTTTAAGCATGCCTAGACACCTAATAGGGCCTTTCTCTGCAACTTCTATGTCGTGCAAAGCAAATAAAACATATCTTATTCTGAACCATAGTTCATCAATGGTAAACACGGCCAGGAAGATAGCCAGGCGGAGTCAGCTTAGACGGTGACCAGGCTATGGATTGGAAAGGGACTTATTTACTTCTTTCTTATTGATTCTCATGTGTTGCTGGCTGCCTCTTTTAGTGGGCAAGTCACGACCCTAACAAACTCCCCTAGCTTAGTATCTAAGCAACCTGATCCTAATAACCCATATCCAATGTTCAAAAAGGCGACATTAGGCGTCCGCCTAGGCATGGCTAGGCACTAGGCGAGGGGGTCCCGCCTGGCCTAGGGGGTAGGCGGACCCTTAGGTGGCGCCAGCTCGTCGGCGGCGCCGGTGGGGGAGGAGGAGCGTCTGGCGGAGGTCACCGGTAGAGGAGGAGGAGCTGCGGGGCGCGGGCGGGGGCAGGGGCGGGCACGCACTAGAGGAGAGAGAGAGATGCCGGAGAGGGAGAGGAATCGGAGGCGGCGGCTGATGCGGGATACCGAACAGAGGAAGCGGCATTGAGCAAAGGATGCGGGAGACCGAACAGAAGGATAAGGTTGGAGACCTGGAGTGGGAGATGGGCTGGACTGTTGCCTCTTAGGCCTTTCTATCTCTCTAAGCCAGCCTTTCTATCTATCTAAGCCCACTATTTCAGCTGTTTATTTTTTCTTTTAGAAGATAATATATGTATATTAGTATATATACAAAACGCCTAGAAAAACGCCTTAAAACGCCTAGGCTCGCTTAGGCTTGCCTAGGCTCTAGGCTATGGGTCATCGCCTAGAAGTCGTCTAGCGCCTTTTTGAACATTGCCCATATCTAATTCTATCTCCGGCTATTTCTATTTTCCTCTGTTGCATGTGATAAAAGGGCTGGGACGGCATCCTGGTTGCCCATAACATATCACTTCTCCCTCCGTCCCTGAGGGCTACATTAATTTGTTATAATAGAGCCATCACCGGAAATCATTTAATGTAGGATTTTTCGTTCCGTACCAGCAGCTGCTAGTGGCATTTGATTGTGCCAGTGGACTTCTCATAATTGGATTAGTGCCACATGTTACTCATTCCGATGAGTGTTGCTGCTCGGACAAGGCTGGAAAGATTGAACCAAATGAAAATGCCTGAATGCCCCTCTTATGTGAAAACCTGTTTTAACACTGAAAGTAGTAGCGATATTAGAAAAAGGTTTTCTTGATTGATGGCATAGAAACAAAAGCATGTTGTTGCAGTATTGAAATTTCCAGCCTTTTTGATAATTAACTAGTTCTGTTCTATTTGTTTTCTCTCTCAATATGGTGACCATTTATTATTCTGAGCTTTAGCAAACACTCCAGTTTTCTTTTATGCATAAAAAAAAGGAGGGCCGACAAGTACAGAGAATGGCATACAATCACAACTGACTCATTCTGTGTCACAAGCTAATCCTAAGATTCAATGGCAAGCTGTTTTCTTAACTTCGACATCTTTCTCTTGGACTTGACTAATTCTGTTTCACAAACTACTTGAGCTGTTTTAATTTCCAGATGTTCCTATTTGACTTGATTGATCCTACCTCAAACTAATTATAAGACTCAAATGAAGAGCTGTCTTAAGTTCCAGATGTTTCTATTCAACTCTATTATATTCCCTCTGGTTCAATTTCTAAGTGTAGTCACACATGGCACGGTCTTCCAAATTTCAATTTAACCAATGACCTTTTATTTATTGTATACTATATTTTTTATGATTATAAAATTATAATCATTGCACAGTATATTTGATTATAAATTTAACTGTATCAAGTTTGTATTACAATAGTTAAAAACTGTTGGCCAAATTATTGGTCAAAGACTGAAGTTTGAATCTTGATATGCTTGTGCACCTTATAAACTGGGCCGGAGGGGGTCTTAGGACATAACTATAGGAGAAATTTTATCTTTAATTGCTTCTCATAGTTCAGAGATAATCAATTATCCAGTTAGATGATAGTTAAGATCCATAAGAGTGACAGCCACGCTATATCCTCTTCTGTCTTTGGTAAACATTTATCTGTCATCTTGTTTACAATGTCTACATCCCATGTCTCTCACAATGGCCAGTGCTGCCGGAGTTTCTGTGATAAACTGTTTTGATTTGTTAATCTACGTTGAAAACATCTAGTTCTTTTATTTTCAGTTTCTCTCGTGTGAGCCCATGGGTGATCCTCCAAACGAGCTCTATCCTCCTAGAATGCTTTTGTTTTGGAGTATATATGGTTACGATGATTACTGAACTTCAGTGCCATATGCATTATCTTGGGAATGAAAAACTGAGCTCAGGAAAAGCATGTGGGATTGGAATTCACTTATGAATCCCTTCCATTTATAATGGTCCATGATAATACATATTGAATGTCAACAATTTTGCTAAGCATTTTTTGTCCGTGATGCAGGTTCTTACGTGACGCACGAGACAAACTACTTTTCATATTTGAAATTTCTTTCATCGACTCTAAAGCTGTCTTATGAATCCTTCAAGTTATGGGTGATTAATACGAAGCAACAATGCAATCAACCTTGCATGTCTACATCTGATTGCTCTAATGTATGCCCCCCTTCCATCCGAGTCGTCTGCAGCCAAGCTGGAAGCCGGTAATCTTAGGAGCCTGCATGTTGATGTATCAGCAACGGATTATTCTCCGTATGCCAGTACTGTGAGATCAGATTGCATCTTATTTGTGTCTGATATATCTAGGTGTTGTGAGGACATTATCTTGTTGCAATATGATTGCCGGACAATTGGACGAACTGCCTCTCATCTGTTTGTGATTGTTTCGGAAGAAGCCTCCTTGCTCATGCGCAATATTCATGGTTCTTACTGTGGGGTATTAGCGGTAGTCGTGGTCCATATTTAGGTCATCTGTATATATATATATTTGATTGAATTGTTCGTTCAGATGCCTGTGGTCATATAATAATTCTTGAGGAAAATGCACCAACAGCCTCTAACTTTGGTAGATGGTGTTATCTAGGTCTCTAAACTTCTAAAATGCATGTCTAGGTCAACTTGGCATATGGTAGTCATACTAAATTTTTTGCATTTTGCCCTTTTTTGTCAAAAATTCACGTTTACACCCCTGGTGATGTAAACCTAACTTTGGACCCTTTTCTCGGCGCCTTGACCTACGACGCAGAGGTAACACGTCTGGGCGTCATAGGTCATGGCGCTGAGGTCGGAGGCCAGAGATTGCATGGCGGGCGACATGGCACTGACGTGGCCAGAGGTTGGCGACATGAATCATTAGCCTCTAACTTTGGTAGATGGTGTCATCTAGGTCTCTAAACTTCTAAAATGCATGTCTAGGTCAACTTGGCATATGGTAGTCATACTGAACTTTTTGCAATTTGGCCCGTTTTTGTCAAAAATTCACGTTTACACCCCTGGGTGATGTAAACCTAACTTTGGAACCTTTTCTCGGCGCCTTGACCTACGACGCAGAGGACACGTCTGGGCGTCATAGGTCATGGCGCTGAGGTCGGAGGCAGAGATTGCATGGCGGGCGACGTGGCACTGACGTGGCCAGAGCTCGGCGTCATGATCTATGGCGCCGAGGTCGGCGCCATGAATCATTGCGCCGAGCTCTAATTTTAACCTTAACCTCGGCGCCGTGAATCATGACGCTGAGCTCTGATTTTAACCTTAACCACATATTATCATGAGTTGGACACCCTTAAATTTATTTTATATGTCCATATAATGGTAAAAATAGGGTCCAAGTCATGTTATTTTAGAGCTTAAGGTTAAAATTAGAGCTCTAGCCACGT